GGAATAAGTAATTAATAGGGATCTCTCTCTTCTTAAAACATTAACATTAGAAATAGAGCTTAAGACGTTATGTTAAGATGCCTTCCTTTATCCAATAATGCTCCGAGCCCTTCCCTAAGGAAGAACTAACTCTACCGGGTTTTAAAAAACACTAATTTGGATCGAAATCGCTTGATTTAGATCAATAATTAGTGTTTAATCGGGTTTTTACTATATTTTGTTTCCAAATTATTTTTTTTTACTTTTTTATTCCACTTGGCTGGATTGCCAATCCGAACCGCTAATCAGTCGTTCCAAACGGCCTTATAAAAACTTCATCCTTATTCTTTTACTTGAGGGCCAAGCTTTTTAGTGATAGCAGCTACTCAATGCAGCCAGGTACAGATAACAATGAAGAGGCCTTCATTTGCAGGACTTTGAACCCGGACTCAGTGCCAAATGAGGGCCACTGACCGTTGCTCAAAACCCTAAAAACAGCGGACACGTTGCCAAAGGGACATGGCTCTTCTTAAATACCTGGGGGACCCAATAATGCTGCTGTTGGGATGACATGTAGTGAGAGAAAAAGTAGAGAGAGAAAGTGAAAAACTTAAGCCCTAGAAACCCTATCAGGACACTTCAACATCAACATAGGGGGGCCCTGTGAAAGAGGGGAAGCCAGTATCTTTCTTATGATGGGACGGTTTCGGTGACTTCTAGAGAGAGAAAGTGGAGATGGGTGGATCTAAAAAGCCTAGAGAGAGAGTTGTAATGTGACTAAGAAGCAATGGGGCAGCACTGAAGTCCTCTCTAATGAAACCAGTAACTTTTATGGTGCTGTGAGGAAGTTTCATGAGGGGATAGCTCTAGGGTAGCCTTGCAAGCTCTCGAGTCTAGAGAGAGAAAATCCTACAACTGGAGCACTCAGAGCCAGCCAAATTCATGTAATCACCAGATGGCAAAACACATGAGAGACCCCGTTAAGTGGAAAAAGGGTCCCTCCTACTAAGCAGTCAGTGAACTTAGTGGAGAGAGAGAGAGAGAAGAGAGAGAGGCCTTCCATTGAGAGACCTTAATATAAACTTGGTGAGGAGAGAGAAAGCAATGAAAAAGGACTCCAATTGGTAAAAGGCAAAAAAACGGATGCGTCTTACTGGAATGGTTTTCCTGCTAGCTGTTGTTTCTCGCTTTTGAGCTGAGCAAGAAAACGGATGCGTCTTACTGGAATGGTTTTCCTGCCGGCTCGCTTTTGAGCTGAGGAAGAAAATGGATGCGTCTTACTGTAAGGGTTTTTCTGCTAGCTGTTGTTTCTCGCTTTTGAGCTGTAGTTTGCTGGGCCTTAGCAAGTACTTAATGATAGAGAGGGACTCAAAGAGCTTAATGGGCAGAGAGAAACCCAAAAATTTAGTGGAAATTAAGAAGGAGACACCCTAATAAAAACTCGGAAAATAGTACATGATAAAATCATTTATTTTTAATATAAGTAGGTCATAATCATCACTTACCGTTAAACCTAAAATTAAATGGCTAACTGTGCATATTTACTAAAGGTGCAGATTGTATAGAGCCGAGTCTCTAAATAATCAAAGTAAATGTCACCTTTAAATAGTATCGAGAAATGTGATTTCAATATTGAAAATCTTTGCGACAGCCTTATAATTTATTTCTCATCTTTAATTATAAAATTCAAAGCTTAAAAAATAATGTAGATCGAACATATCTACGGAAACTTGAAAATCTTGAAAATTGACAGTCCAAATATGCATTACAAGATGCACTAATTTCGAAAACTTGAAATCTAATTTTTTTTTTCTCATGTCCATGCATCTTGATATGGAGATGATCAATTTGAGCATCAAAACATCGTCTTTTAGTGAAATTTTTGAGGGGGGTTTTAATTTGATTGTTCAGAGCCTCGACTCTATGTAAACTTTTTCTTATAAATAAATAACCTTCTATTATGAAATTCCAGCGGAGATAGAAAACACTTATGAAGAGGAGACCTTAATAGGAATTTAATGGAGGGAGAAAAAGCAATGGGAGAGAGACCCTCATGAGAACTTAGTGGCGAAACAAAAGTCCTAACCAGAACTTAGTGGTAGAGAAAGACTCAAAGAAGCTTAGTGGGGAGAGAAAGCAATGAGAGAGAAACCCTAACGACAAACTGCGTAGAGAGAGAAACTCTAACAAGAAAGTGTAGAGAGAGAAAGAGAGCAATGGGAGAGAAACCCTAACAACAAACTGTAGAGAGGGAAACCTTAACAAGAGTGTAGAGAGAGAAAGAGAGCAATGGGAGAGAAACCCTAACAACAAACTGTAGAGAGAGAGAGAGAGAGAGAGAGAGGACGTACTAGTAGACGAGTTAGTAGGTAGAGTACTCGACGTAGTTAAGGTAAAGGTAGTTAGTAGGAGGTAGTGGGTGGGTTCGGGGTCCCTACTA